GGAGGTGCTTTGTAAGCTCACGCGGGGGTGCTGGAAGCCTCGTCCGCCGCGCCCCGCCGGGTCCCCCGCGGCTCGCGGAGCCCAGCATCCCTCCCAGGGCGCTGCAGCCTGGAGGCGCAGCGCGCACACAACGCGTACCGCGGGAAGGCACTGCTGGCGGCGCGGGGCCGCCCTACCTTGATGACGGAAGCGCAGGTGGCGGCGGCGGCGTCCGGCTCCGGCTCCGCGCTCCTCACCGCCCGCGGAGACCCCAAGCGCAGCTCCGCCGCCTCTTCCCCCCGCAGCCGGGAGGGCGGGGCCGCTGGGCGGGGCTGGGGCCCGGCACTAGCCCCGCCCGTGCGCCCCGGGTCCGGGGGCACCCCTCCTTCCCCACCCTCCGGACCGCGCTCCTGGCTCCCGGGGCCGGGCTCGGGACGCGCGCACGCGCACAGAACAGGCGCGCACCCGCCGCAGAGATTGGGGCGGGCTGCCTGGCGACCGGGCGCGGGCTGGGGACAGGCGGACCCACCACTGCCTCGTTTCGTGGCACCGGGGCTAGGGACTCGACCTCCCGAGCCTCCGTTTCCCCCTAGGTGAAATGGAAACAGTAACTGTTTCTGCCTCCGAGTACTGTTTGAAAATTAGATGAGATGACTTAATTTACCGGCCGGCCAACTGAGCGCGCAGAGCCCGCCACGGGGGTGGCGCCTGGTGGAGAAATTCTTGAGGCTTCCCATTCAGCGGGGATGCAAGGGGAGGCGCTTCTGTAACCGGAGGACTCCGTTCTCTCGGCAGCCAGGAGGGGGCGCTGCCGCCCAGTCTCGCTGGCTCTGGGGTTCTTTTTTTTTTTTTTAATTTTTAAAAATTTATTTCTGAGAGAGAGAGAGAGACAGTGTGAGCAGAGGAGGGTCAGAGAGAGAGGGAAGTACAGAATCCGAAACAGGCTCCAGGCTCCGAGCTAGTGTCAGCACAGAGCCAGACGCGGGGCTCGAACCCACGAACCGCGAGATCATGACCTAAGCGAAAGTTGGACGCTTAACCGACTAAGCCACGCAGGCGCCCCAACCCTGCTCAATTTTTGAGTGAATAACAGAGCATATATTTTACATACTTTACATACATACATACTTTACATATATTATTTCATTTAATGCTAGTAACCCTTTTTTTTATTTAACTGCTGTTATTACCCCCATTTTGCAAGTAAGAAGACTGAGATTTAAGTCTGGGCTCGGGGATATATCCTTGGAAAGAATAGCCGGGGCCAAAGCCTGCAACTCATTCAGTTCACTGGGCTAGTCGACCATCCAGAGTCCCCTTCCCCCACAGTGTGGCCTCCTTGTGGCCCTGACCCAGACTGGAGCTAGTGTATTCAGTAGGCCAGGGAAATGTGTGCTTCAGGTATCAGCAAGAGAGTCAGATATTTGATGTTTCAGAAAAGCATATGGAGAATTCTCTTCCTGCCTCATCTCCCTCTGTCTAAACTGACACATCCTTCCTTCCAGGTTTATCACCAACACACCTCCCCAGGTGCCCTGTGGATGTGCCCTCCCAGCCTTGTGCCTGCATCTCCCCACCCGGTGCCATGGTGGTGGGTGGGTGGCTGGGACTGTGTCTGGGAAAGGCTGGTTTGACAGCGACCACTGGGGACCACGGGCATATGGACTGATGCGAGGTCATTGGAGGCCTCTGCAATAGACACAACCTTAGACCCTTTCTGGGGATGCTGCATGTGTGTGCACCTGTGAGCATGTGTGCGTGTGCGTGTGTGTGTGTGTGTGTGTGTGTCCTCATTTCCCTGCTCCTTCCCTCCCCCAACCCTGGTCCATTTGAGGAAGGCTAACTCTTGACCATCTTCTGAATTACACACATGGAGAAACTGAGGCCAGAGCAGGGATAGCCTGCCCAGGGGCCCCTAGTTAGAAAACCACACGGTAGGTTTGGCCTCCGTTGGGCCCATCTGCCAGCACCGTATACTGGGTCTTACTGTGGATCGGGAGAGGCCAGGACACCAACGCCACCTTCCTTCCCCAGGTCGGCAGGGCCAGCTTTGTTTAATCTGCCGTGTTGGGTAAATGCCTTGTGCAGGACCAGGGTATGTGTGAGAAAGGGTGGCAAAGTCTTCAGCTCCCTGCCCAACCTGGAGCTTTCTGAGCAATATGGCCTGTGCCCTGGGAGATTGAACTAAGAATGAGGGAACAAGGGCGCCTGGGTCACTCGGTGGGTTAAGTGTCTGACTCTTGATTGTTGCTCAGGTCATGATCTCAGCATTTGTGAGTTTGAGCCCTGCGTTGGGCTCTGCGCTGGCAGCGTGGAGGAAAGAACTGCTTGGGATTCTTTCCCTGCCTCTCTCTATCTTTTCCCTGCTTGTGCTCACACTCTGTGTCTGAAACAAAACAAAACATTAAAAAAAAAAAAAGAATGAAGGAACAGCAGCGTCTGGGAGGTGAGGTCCTACGTGTGGGCATCGTAGCTCTGAGTACGGTGTTCTGTAGAAGTCAGTGTACACCTACCACTTTGGGGTAGAGGTGAGGGGAGTCTTCCAAAGTGCCTTCCAGGCCCTTCTTCTTCTTTGAGGAGCCCCTTCATTCTTGGGGATATTGCTCCAGGGAGGTCCCCTCCTCTACACAATGCTGGGGGCCCAGTGTCTGGGAGAGGGCCGCTGCTTTGAGTGGAGAGGTCCCACACCCAGGGTAGGAAGGTGGGGCTGCGAGGGATCAGATCCTCCGGCCCTAGAAGGCAGCAGCCCCTGGGGATGGGGGGGCAACAGCTGTGGTGCGAGGCCAGGAATCTGACACCAGGGGTGGGCCCCAAACACCCTTTAGGAAGAAGGGGGAGGGGAGGTAAGACAGCAGCAGCAGCAGCCACAGATCTTCTCGAGGTGTGACCACCTCACCCCCCACCCCCATCTCCACCAGCCCCTTTTAGAGCCTCCCAATCAGGTAGATGGTTCTTCCTTCCACCTTCCTTCGTCCGGAGCTATCCCACAGAGCCCTACATGTCTCAGGGAGCTACAGGCCAGGCCTGCTCTTTTCCCCCCGGACCCTTCTGTGTCCCAGCTCCAGGGACATTGAGGTGAAGTGGTCTTACAGTTAGCACCTCTAAGGTGTGAGCATGACTTACAGTCAGCAGCTGTGTGACTTTGGGCACGTTAGCTAACTCCTCTGAGGCTTCATCTCTTCAGTTCTAAACTGAGCGTGGTCTGGAGTGAGCAGTGCTCCAGGGCAGGCCGTTCTCATTCCTGCCTCCAGCACCTCGTTTTAGGGCTGGAGGAGGCCGGACCAGAGTCGATCCCGTGGCCTCCAACCCCCCTGGTGTATCAGAACGCCCAGGCCCCACAAAAGGCTCTGTGTGGGGCCTGGCCCCAATATTCTTTAAAAGCTGCTTAGGTGATTCTGTGGTGCAGCCAGGTATAAACCAGAGGTTACGGTGCTGGGTCAAGGGCAAAGCACCTCACTTTCCCCCAATCCGGGAGGGGCAAGGTGTAGGCCCCTGCTCTGAGCAGAGCCTGGGAGTGGGAGGGGAGAGGAGGAAGGGGGAAGAGGGGATAAAGGAAGAAGGGTGAGAACAGACAGGAGGAGGAGGGGAAAGAGGAGGGAGGGAGGAGAGGGAGGAGGAAGAGGAAGGAAGCAGAGGAAGCAGGGGAGAGATAGGCCAGGAAGAAGGGAGAGGGGAGGGGTGTGCCATTTATCAGACAGCTCCCCGTCTGATCTGGGATTGTTTATTTTTTGCTGAGGAGGGAATTTGAATCTCAAGGCTGGCGCTGAAGGACCAGCTGGGCCTGTCTTTCCTGGAGCCTTGGGCCTTTTTGAAGCCCTCTGGGTGGTTTTTCTATAAAAAGGCAACTCCCTGCCAGTGGTGGTGCTTTTCCCTTGCAAGGCACCAGCTCATCTCCTGGGAGCTCCGGGAGGCTAGAGCCCTGTCTCCCCAGTGACAGCCCCTGTTGGGGGTACAGCTAGGACCCCCGCAGGCCGCCATCACGCCTCACGGATGCCCTTTGGTGATGAAAGGATTTCAGCCGACATAAAAGTTTAGCAAAAATGAGGAAGGTCAAGACACTATGTGGAGTATTCGTGGGATACCCGGCCCTGGGGTCAGCCGGTAGCCCATGTCGTGTGGGAGGAAAGAGCTCCGAGTGCCTCTTCCCCAGAGCTGTGTAGGGGGCGCGGTGTCGGCGAACTGGGTGCCTGCTGCACCAGTTCCTCAACGTTCCCACTTGTGGGTGAGCAGGCTGGTTCCTGGTCCCCAGTGACAGGAACCTCTGGCCAGAGCTGGAAGTTTCCACGCAGACACACCCCCACCCCCCGCCCCCAGTCCTTCCTGCTGAAGACTGCCCAGCCTGAGCCTGTACTGGCACAGTCAAGGGTTTGGTGAGCAATGAGCTGCCCAAATCACTTATACAGCCTTGACTCCCTGCCTGGAACGGAATGGGGAGGCCTGACTGCTGAGGAAGGGCCCGGAAGAGCCCAGAACTGAAATGGAAGTCCTGCACACACTGGGTGCCAGGAGAGACAGCCCTGGCTTGGTGACAGGCTACAGCTGTGTCCCTGTCAACACCTCTTTCTCACCCTCCAGCCTCCCAGTTTTCAGAGAAGAGGTGATTGCCCGGGCCTGGGAGGCAGGTAGACGAAACTCAGCCGTTGGGCGCCTGACCCAGGGCTCTCTGCCCAGCACCCACACCAAGTTCCTTGTGGTGTAGGCAGGGGTTTTCCCTGGGAACCTCTCCCCCCACAACGGAGAGGAGAGCATAGGTGCGGAGCTCGGTGGATGGGAGCTGGGCCTGGGACACAAACCTAACCAGCACTGGGGAGGCACTGTCACCCAGGAAGACACATCGTCAAGCATAGGACCCTAGCTCCTCAGCGACCCAGGAGGGGGGCTGGCCCTGCAGAGACACCCCCAGAAAGAGAACCCAGGGATGTCCCGGGCTGGACAGGCCCTCGTGATGCGATACCCTGGAGCCCTGGACCCACCCAGAAACAGTTGGGAATCACTGGGAATTGCTACGCTTCCAAAGCTTGTTAACTGTTTCTAATATTTATATTGTTTTATACAGACAAAACTTAAAGAACATTCAAGGTTACCCTATAAGACAGCATTCTTGCTTGTCTGTGTGCTAAAGTGCTCTGTGGAAGAGGAGAAAGGGGTGGCACCCCTGGGTATGCGCTCATGAGGGCATGACCCAACCAAAGGCTTCACCGCAGACAATGTTCTGATGGGGAGACCGAGCCCCAGAGAGGGGAAGGGACTTGCCCAGCATCGCACAGTGATGGGGCTCGCGGGCTGGGCCGCTGCTCCACGGCCATCCTCCCGGGGGCCTGCCAGTCAAGGGGGAGAAGGAGCTTTGGGGAGAGCAGGTGGCCAAGTCAGGCCTCCCCCTCCCCCTCGTCCTCACTGGCGCAACCCTCAGGCACCGCTGGGGCTTGCGAGTTCCGGGTCTCCAAGTACTCGGCTTTCAGCCGCTCCAGTTCGCGCAGCTCAGCCTCCAGCCGCTCCCGGTGGGCCGTCCGCAGCTGCCGCAGCTGCTTCATAGGAAAAGGGTTCATGTCGTTGAAGGCGATGTTTATCAGCTTCCTGCGGGGGAGAGCCCAGTCAGCCCAGGGCCCAGCGCCCCACTGGGCCTGCCCTCACCCAGCCTTCCCAGGCACCCTGGCATTCATTCTGTCCACATGGCTGAGGCCCTGGCCCCTGCCCGCACAGAGTGTCGGAGGCCGCGCCCAGGGAGGAAACAGGGAATAAGAAGACAACTTCCACCCCTAGTGCTGTGTACTGAGGCTGGAGGAAGCTTAGGGCTATGGATGCTCTACCCCACTAAGGAAAGGTTGGTCAAGGAAGGCTGCCTGAAAGAGGTGACATGTGAGCGGAGTTTCAAAGAATGAATAGAAGTTGGCCAGGCAACTGTGGTGGTGGTGCAGGTGGTGGGAAGGCCTTCTAAGTAGAGGAAGCTGCAAGATCAAAAAGCCCAGAGGTGGCTGTTGTCCTAGGAACTCAAATAATTCTCTCTGGCAGGATTGTAGGGCATGGGGATTCGGAGCAGGAAAAGGTGGGAAAGAAATGAAATTGCATGGAGGCCTTGAACGCCATGTTAAGGGGCAGACAGACCAGAGGCAGTGGAATGTCCCTAAAGATTTCTAAGCTGTAGCGGAGCATCAACGGCACTGACTCTGCTGCACTCAGCAAACACCAGCATGCCCGCTGCTATGTGTCCTGGGGGCACGTGAGGGTGGTGGGACGGGCAGGGGTGGGGTCAGAAGGGGGTGCTCACTGGCTGTTGCAAATGGTCTTGGTGAAGAGGCGCAGGTACTGGTAGATCTCCAGGCCATCATGCAGCCGCAGGATCTCCTCCTCGTTGTACTTGAAAATGGCCAAGGCGTAGCGGAATATCACCTGGGGGGCAGAGCGGGGGCTCAGGTGGGTCACGGCCAGGGCAGGCAATCCCCAGGGGGAGGAGAAGCCACATACCCAGATGGTGCGGGGCTCCCGGGACAGGCTGCAGGGTTGAAAGCTTGGAGGCAACATGTGTGAGGGGAGGCCTAGGAGGGGCAGAAGGGAGACCTCAAGGGGAGACAGCACAGCTTGGAATCCCGGGATGGGGAGGGACTGAGCCCTGGCTCTGCCCCGACTTGTCCGGACCCTGGGTGACTGCTGCCCTGTTGGACCTGATGGGGGCGATGCTGCATCCACATGGGGCATCAGTAGGGATCAAATGGAGTTACAGACCCGAAGGTGCTCTGTAAACTGCGGTGCGGTACATCGTCAACCACCATGGGGACGCTGGGTGGGACGCGGGGAGGGCCTGCCCAGGGTCTCCTAGAAAGGTGAGGGGCAAAGCTGGGACCATACCCAGTATGGGGCTCAGTCGAAACAGGTGGGGAGAAGGGGGGCCCACACTTCTGCATGGGCAGTGGATGGAATAGGGATGGGCCTCCCGGGTGATGGTCATGGCTCTTCCCCAGGGAAGGGAAATCCTCCCAACTTCTCTTCTGCTCACGGGAGCAGAGCACTTTGGTTTACAAAGCCACACTCCCACGGGGTGTCCTCAACAGCCCTGACAGGGGAGCACCGCGCACCCATTCACCTGGGGCGGAGCGGAGCCCGAGAGGGCTGGCGGGTTGTACCCAGGACTGTCCCCGTCGGCCCTGGCAGCGCCCTACCTTGGTGCCCTCGTACAGGAAGGCGTCCCAGACCCGGAGAAGGATGTTGCTGATGAGACTGTCCGCAAAGACCACGAGGAACCAGTTGAAGGTGATGAAGGAGAGGTCCACGCGGTGCTGTGCCAGGTGAGCCATCAGCCTGGGCAGCTTCTCCAAAAGGAGGTCCTGGAGCACCCGCTGGTCCGCCTGGGAGCCGGGAGGCAGGTGTCAGATGCCACCCTAGGGAAGGGGCTGCCACCCTCCCTCCTTAGCCTGTCCCACAGGCCGGGGGCAGTAGGGGGACCCGGAGTGCCTGGAGGAACCGGAGCCCGGCTTGGCCCCAGAGACCGGCACACGGCGCCCCTCCTCTGCCACGCCCGGCACAGGCAGGAGTCTTCTGAGCTGGAGTGCTGGGCTGTGCTGCGAGGTCTCTGTGGGCTAAGTTCTTGGCCAGGGGCGTTTTGGCCCCTTTGGCCTCCTGAACATGAAGCAGTTCAGACTTGTGTTGGCCTGAACTCTATATATCCATCGGGGGTCTGACACACAAGATGCCCAGGGCAGCCAGCCCATGACCTAGGGTAATTCACTGAATCTGAAATGCCTCTGCTGAAGGACTCACAGGTCACCTGAGGCGATGCGTGGGATTTATCTCACAGGGAGTGGGTGGGAGTGGAGATGGAGCAGCATTTGGGTGGCTGTGTTGATAGTTATTCAAACTAGCTCATAGGTACATGGAAGTTCATATATTATTTTCTCTATTTGTACATTCGAAATTTTCTGTACAAAAAAAAGAGAGAAAATAAACCCTCCAACAACTCCACCACAACAGACTGGCTATACAACACCCCTCGATTTCAGAGACATTAAAACATGAAAGTAAAATATGGAGATGGGAGGTCTGAAATGATTTCGCATTTACACCTGTCAACAAGCCCGGGAAGTAGTACTCCTGTCCAAAAGCAAACAAACCAGGGCTCCAGAGAGGGGATGTCACTGGCCAAGACCACACAGCTAAGGGGAGGGGTCGGGTCTGAGCCCAGCTGCACCTGACTCTGGGCTGGGCTGTGCTCAGAGCGGAGCCGAGGGGGTAAGGAAGGAGACAGCTGTGCTTCTCCGCAGGCGAGGAGGAGCGCGTGTGAAGGCTCACTCCCACCTCCCATCCTGAGGCCCACTTCCACCCACCTGACCTCTGTCTTGAAATTCTTTACTTGCAAAAACCAAGAGACTCTAGATTTTCTTCTCTCTCCCTCCCTAAGAAACCATTTCTTAAAAAAAAAAGAAAGGAAAGAAGGAAGGAAGGAAAGAAAGAAAAAGAAAGAAAGAAAGGAAGAAAGAAAGGAAGAAAGAGACCAATCATTCCTGGTGACCTAGTGTCACCACTGGAATAACAGGTCTATCCCGTGGACAGGGCCCCAACAACTCTAAAGGCCATCACCTCACCAGAACTTCCCAGGAGTCCCAGGGAGGGGCTAATGGCCCCTTGTACAGAGGGAGAAATGGAGGCCTGAGAGGTCTCTGATTTTCCTGATTCACTGGCTTGAAGGAACCACTCAAGGGGCACCACCCTGTGTGGCCTCCAAGTCCCGTCCGCCCTGCGCTGCTCACCTGGGATGATGTGAGCGTCTTGCTATAGTAGTCAGCCGGCATGATGGTCTCCACAATGGCCACCAGGCACCAGAAGGCACACTCCTCTTCCTCCAGGACCAGCAGAGCAATGGCCGCTAGCCTGGAAGGGGAAGAAAGGAGGCCTGCAGGTCACAGCCAGGCAGAGGGTGGCAGAGGTAGCTTTCCAGATCCCCGGGGGCTGTCATGTCCAACCCTAACCAGGCTAGTGTTCTGGCACCTGGGGTGAGAGGGACATGCTTTTGGGGAGGACTACACAGGGGTTTCCAGCGCAGTGGGGAGACCTGAGTCTCTAGGAGGGGCCCTGGAATCCTGTTGCCTACCTGGGAATTCCGAGCCTGCTGCTTCCTTGCTGGATGATTCTGGGCAAGTCCCTAAACCTCTCTGAGCCTCAACCTCTTCATAATAATCACAGGATGATTATGAGGATAAATAAGTTAACAAGAGATAAATGGCCAGCATAGCACCCGACATGTAGTGGAGCGCTTTATGAATGTTAGCTATCCTCACCTTAATCTCCACCGGCTTTGAGACCTCGGTAAGTGTGCTAACCTCTCTGAGCCCTGTTTTCCTCATCTGTAAAGTGGGATTAACAATCTCCACCTCCTAGGGCTGTGAGGCATTTTGAACAAGACAGGATGACAGTGTCTTGCTAACCATCTGGCACAAAGCAGATGCTCATTACACAGAATTCTTTCTCTCATTTGCTTCCCTTCCCCCTGAAGTTACCATGAAGCTCTAATGAGATCATGGTAAGAAAGGAAAAGGTCCACAGCACTGAGCAGGGATGCCAGCGTGGAAGAAGTACTATTTTCTCTACTCCCATCTTTCCTGGCAGGTCTCACCCGGGGCCAATCCAGGAATGCATTTCCCAAAATGCAATGGTCTCTTAAGATGCTAGGTGAATACAAGGTCCCTAATTCAAAGATGTTTGGGAAATGCTGCATACTCTAACCCCCTTTAGAGGCTGATGGTATACAACATCTTAGTAAAAGCCTCTGAGAAATTCGGCAGTGACAAATCCCCATGTGACTCTAACCTAGGGCTGTCCATTGAGGCTGTGGAGCCCCTTTTGTACAGTGCACCCACTGAACACCCTGAGGGAGATGCCACCTTACAGCATTGTGAAGCCTCACACTCTTGATGGGCTTAAAGAACACACATCATTGTCTAGCTATTTATCCTTCTCTGGGCTCTTACTAGACTGGATTCATGACCTCCAACCTCTTCTGAGGTTCGTATTGTTTAAAGAAACAGGATCAATTCTCAAAAGAAAAAAGAAACCTCTTTTCTCTCCCCAGTAGATTGGGAAGGAATTTCTTTTCACTCTGGCTAAACTATCTGTACAAATCCTCCTGAATCTGAGCTGAGTGGATGAAGAGAAGAGTCAATGGTCTTTTTGGAAATAGGAAACTCTGCCCTCTCAGAGATGGGGAAAGGGGGCCTTCTGAGGTCATTTAGTTCAGGGATAACAAATGTGTGAAACACTGGCACCACTCTCTTTTGTCTATGCCCAGAGCAGACATAACTAATCAATCACGACAACATCCCTTTGTCTATGCCCAGGGCAGACATAACTAATTCATCATTGTTCTCTTTCCCACCGACTCTGGAGGCTGCCTCAGAAACTCTCACCAAGGCTCTAGGCAGATTCTTCCTACTGGTCATCCTGGGTCTAGATAAACTTGAGATGGGAAGACCCGAGTCCTGGAAAGCAGAAGTGACTTGCTCAGAGTCAGACAGTCAGCTGGCGGTAGAGTGGAGACAGAACCCAGGGCTCCCAAAGTCCCAGCCTGGTTTTCTCTCCACCCTACCCCGTTCCACTGGAGCCTCAGGATGCACCCGGTCCAGGAGCTGGATGCTGGCACCTGCTTAGATCTCTGCACACTAAAAGGTCAGTAATGAGAAGCTTCTGGTACCAACTAGGGCCCACCAAGTGCTCAGGGCTGCAACCAGACTCCAACTTCAGGCCTTCAGGCTCAAGTGCGTCTCCAAAGGAGGTAGCATGGTGATGTGGGAAACAGCTACTTTTAAAGCACTCCACTCATGTTTTTAAAGGCAAGTAGCTTTAACATTTCTGCCCTTAACCAGCACTGTATTATTGCTACGATATCTGTCACCCTCTAAACAGGATGACCTGTTGCATAGAAAGAAGCAGGTTGTGTCCTCCGCATGCAGTTCTAACAGTTGCCACTAGATGGCGGCACTCAGACAAGTGAAAGGGGCCTGCAGGGTGGGGGTTTAAGGGCCGCACTCTCCACATTTGAAGGGGCTCTTTTCATTCCAGGTAACTTTTGATAGTAAGCAACAATATGAATGTCTGCCTAAACACCAATTGTCAGTACAAAAAGAAAGTACAGAGAAAGAATTAAAGAAATATTCTCGGGTGTCACCCCCTTCTCGGTCTGTTATCCCTACATACCCCTCCACAGCCTTTGTGCTGCCTCTTTCTACACAGGGAAAAGCTCCTTTCCTTCTAGTTTATCTCAAGAACCTTCCCACTATAGGATTTCCCCCGCCCCTTCAGCTGTGCTGTGGTTTAACTCTGAATTCCCAGTAACTGAATATGCATATATGCTCAATTTCACCCAATTTAGGCTGGAAATCAAGTATCAAAAATATCTACCCTCAGGAACCATTAAAATTTGAGTAGAGACTCTCTGAATGTTTATTATGTGTTAAAGAAATGTCATACACCACCTATTTTGAAAAAAAGACCAGAATGTCTTCTGTAAATATTGCTCAAGTGTATGCATATTTAAATTAAATTGAGTCAAAGGGGTGCCTGTGTGGCTCAATCCATGGAGCTTTTGACCTCGGCTCAGGTCACGATCTCACAGTTCGTGAGTTCGAGCCTCATATCAGACTCTCTGCTGTCAGGGCAGAGCCCACTTTGAATTCTCTGTCCCCCTCTCTGTGCCCCTCTCCCACTCACACTGTCTCTCTTTCTGTCTCTCAAAAATAAACATCAAAAAAAACTTTAAAAACAAATAGAGTCCAAACTCGTTTTGGGGAGTACCTGAGATTACGTAACCTCTATCGAGATAGCTAAGGGCATCCACGAGAGTCCTCCATAGTACTGACGGAGGCAGCCCTACAAGTCACCCTACCCTACCTCCACCCCCAATCCCTCATCTCCAGCTGTTGGACCAGAAACAGAACCGTCTTCAGGCTGGGCCCATCGCATTCTTCCCTTTGGGAATTTGGGCCTATGGCATGAGGGTATTGACAAGTGGGACGACTTGCTGAAAAGGCTCCAGACTGAGGGGCTGAGGTCTCCACTCTGAACAGCCTCGATGGGCCCTAAATGTCCAAGGAACGATGGATCGAGGCTGGTCTGCTGAGAAAAGGAGGCAGACATGCAAAGCAAGAGACGCCAGAGACCGCGAGGCCCCTGAGCAGCTGCAGAGCAGGAGCATGGTGTTGCAGTGTCCGGATGTGGCCCCAGCTGCTTCGGCGTGCTTGGCACCCCTGGGCTCGTGTGGTGCTGGGGCCCTGCTGGAGAGAGGGGACGCCTCGGTTTCTAATGACCATCTGGTCTTGTCCTCTCTTTTCTTTTCGTAGGTTTTATGAGCTTCCCCTGTAACGTTTACAAATTTTCTTTCTCTTGGGTTCCTCTGAATGGATTCTGTTTGAAGCAAGTGAGCCTTGACCCACAGTTCTGCAATATGTGAGCTGAGCTGTGCCCTGCAAAATCCCAGGAGACAATGGGGGGCCCCACCCTGAGCACAGATCAAAGGAGAGAGCCCGACATGGTGAACTACCACGGTCTTGAACCTGTCCTTGTCCCCATCTTGGACATGTCTGTATTGGCCCCATCTGTATGGTGGGAATCAAGCCTCCTGGGCTCGCCTCTCCATGTTCTTGGGAGACTCCAGAGAGACAGAGAGGTCTAAAGAACAAGGGCTGTGCCCTCACGAGGGCCATGATGCTCACCTGTTCAGGCCCTGGCAGTAGCCGATGGTGGGGTTTTGCCAGGAGAAGGCCAGCAGCACCCGGCGTAGCTTGTCGGGGAAGCTGGAGCTGGGGCAGGTGAAGTGCTTGTTGTTGGGGAAGGTACGGTTCAGGTCCAGCTCAATTTGGCGGGCCGCGGGGTGTTCATGAACCTGACCCCGGCTCAGCAGCTCCTGGTAGCGGCCGGGGCTCCACAGGTGCTGGACGCGGAGGTGGACCAGCCACCTCCAGACACGCGGCCGGTGCTCTCGGGGCACACCTGCCCGCAGCAGCTGCTTCAGCTCGACCGAGGGTGTGAGCTCGCCCAGGGCGGCCCACCGCTCCCGCAGCGGCCGCTCCACAGCCTCGTGGGCCAGCAGGTGGTGGGAGTGCACCTCTAGTGCCTGGATCTTGGCCAGCAGCTTCAGGTCTTCCACCTCGTAGTTGGGCACCGTCAGGAAGCCATACTCGTCATACTCGCTGCCAGCAAAAGCCCATGTTAGCAACACTTTGCAGAGTCCCTCCCCAGAGAACGGGTGGTGGGGAGGGGCTGGACCCCAGGCACAGTTCCTGCTTGGGCTTCACTGTGGGTTAGCCATGTGGCTTTGGGCAGGTCACTTCAGTTCTCTGAACTTCACTTTGCTCATCTGCACAAGGGGTAGAAGAATTCCTGCTCTGCCTCGTAAAGACCCGTTGCTACCCTCTGTGGTAAAATGCTGGGGGCCTAGACAGTGCCTGGTATACAGTAAGCACCTAGTAAGTGAATCCTGGGCAGATGTAAAGGACCCTCTTACTCCATGAAGCCTTAGGCTCAAGGAGCCCTGCGGTGCCAATGCGGAATCCCACTTACAGAGAGTAAGCCCAGGGATGGAAGGGGAGCAGAGCACCACCAACAAGCAAGATGGGACGGCTGGGAATCCATTCCAGATGGCCTCTCATTGATTTAACATTTATCTGCCCTGTGTGCTGTGCACGTAGTGTCCCCTCTGGTCCTCCTGATCCTGCAAAACAGGGATCTTAGCCCACATCTGACGGAGGCTGCATATGCGGCCCAGAAAGGTCAAGTGACTTATCCAAGGTCACATGGGGACAGAGCCAGGTGTGGCTCCAAAGCCTGGGCTCCTTCCACGGAGCCTCCCAGCCTTCAGGGGCCTTTGGATGGCAGCCACAGCCCGTTGTTATATTTAACTGCCCACGTCAGTTGTGCTCTGCAAGGGCCTGGCCTGGGGAAGGCAGCTGGCCTGTCTCTTCTCCCCCTCTCTGACAAGCACCTCTGGGAGGCAGCCTGGGGAAGTGGACAAAACAGGGCTCGGGAGGCGGACCCAGGTCAGATGCACCCATATGCTGCACGGCCACGGGGAAGGGGCTGCCTTCTCTGCGCCTGCACCACCTCAGCTGTAAGATGGGGCTTGTTGCAACCATGCGCTCATCGCCCGAAGATGAGAGAACATAAGGGACGCACGGGGCTCGTAGGCGGTCAGCAGGGAGCGGCAGCTGGGGTCCCCCAGGTCACGAAGGCCACGGCTGGCCCTTGCTGCCCGCGGGGCTCACCTGACGGGGCTCAGCTCCGCGTCTTCGGCCGACGCCTCCCTGGCTTCCCACTGCAGCGCCTCCTGGGTGAGCTGCCTCAGCAGCTCGGCGCACTCGCTGGCCTCGCCGCCCATGGCCTCCTGCAGCCTCCGCAGCCCTGCCAGGTACTTGCTTTCTACCTGGCAGTTCTTGGCTTGGAGGTAGGCGCACTGTGGAGGCAGGGGTGAGGCTGTCAGGCCACCCTTCTCCCAGTCATCCCCCACCCCTCCCCACGCCCAGCCCTTCGTATAAGGGAAAGGAGATGGGCCCCAAACCAAAGGCAGGAAAGGCTCCAGGCAAGAAAGCCAGGCCGGGGCGGCAGCTGGGTTCAGAAGGAAGAGGGGAGAGCAGGGCAGGGCGTTCTTGCATAACCTGAAGTCTCATCCTGGTCCCACCACTGCTGGCTGGGTGACCTAAGGCAAGTCACTTAACCTCTCTGTGCCTTAGCTTCTTCTAAACAATGGAAATGCTATGGATTTCGGTGAGGATTAGATGAACTGATGCATGTAGAGCCTCTCTCGGGGCACCTGGCCTAGAGCCATTCTCTGTAGGTGGTATCACCGAGCAGCACCCAGGAGACGGCCCTGAGGCTCTGGACGCTGCCCTTGTTGCCTCCTGCTGCCACAACACCTGCTCTTCCCATTCCTGCTACGCGTCACTCGTCTCCCGTCAGTGGTCAGCCTGCATGCGCCCTGCCCCCATCTTGAACTTCTTTCTTTTCTATGTATTTCTCTTTACATAAGGTGAGTGTTCTGAGCAAGTCAGGTCCCTTTCCTAGGCCCGTCTTCCTTCTTTGTTTTAAGCTGGACGGGAAAAATCAGGCTCATAGTTTTGCTGTGACCTCTGGGCCGGGCTGGCTCCTGTCTCAGCCTGGGGTGGCAGAGCGGGAGCCTCCTGGTCAAGGCTGCTGCTCTGCTGCACCCCTGCCCGGATCACCATCTCCAGATGTCGGCTGAGCACCGACTCCAGGCCATCGGGTGAGCCTGCTCCTCCCCATTTCAGGCGGCTCCCACTTCCATGTCCCTCGGCCGGCAAGGCTGCTTCCCGAGCCCCCTCCCAGTACTCTTCTCAGGCACTTCTGCTACAGACCCCCAAATCTCCCTGCTCTCCAGCTCACCTCTGCAAGCCCAGTGAGCCCCTGGCTTTCTCAAAACATAAGTCTGATTGAGTACTGCACCCCCCCCCAAACCCTTCTACAACTCCCAGTTTCCTTAAAGAATGTCCCAACATTTCCCCCTCCAGCCTCACATCTCCTTTCCCACCTTCCCCCTTTCTCTCAATCTACAGGTCGTGACCGTGCAGTCTCTTCCCTTGAAAGGCCTTTCTCCACTCTATTTGCCTGGATAACACCAACTCACTTTTAGGACTCAACTCAAGAAGGTACCTCCACCTCGAAGCCCTCCGTGACTTTCTTTCTCCCTTTGGGCCCCAAAGACTCCTGTGTGCCCAACTGCATCTTGATGGTGTTTGACTCCACTAGTGTGCATGCACCCTCTCTGAAAAGTCTTAGAAGGCCTTTTGTTAGTTTTTCTTTAAATGTTCAGTAGAATTCATCAGTAAAGCCATCAGGTCCAGGGCTTTTCTTTGTTGAGAAATTTCTGATTGCTAATTCAGTCTCCTTACTAGTTATATAGGCCTATTTTCAGGCTTTCAATTTCTTCATGATTTAGTCTTGGTAGGCTTTGTGTTCCCTGGGATTTGTCCATTGCACCTGGTGATCCAGTTTGTTGGTATACAATTGTTTACAACATTCTTATGATCCTTTTTATTTCTGTAGAATCAATAGTAATATCCCCACTTTCATTTGATGTTGAGTCCTCTCTCTTTTTTATCTTAGTTCACTTAGCTCAAGGTTTGTTAATTTTGTACATCTTCTCAAAAAAAAAATCAACTCTTGGTTTCACCGATTTTCTCTATTACTTTTCTGTTATCGATTTCATTTATTTCTGCTCTGATCTTTATTATTTTCTTCCATTGGCTAGCTTGGGTTTAGTTCTTCTAGTTCCTCAAGTTATAAAGTTAGGCTGTTGATTTGAGATCTTTTTGTTTGTTTGTTTGTTTTTGTTTTTAAATTTTTTTTTTTTATTTATTTCTAGGAGAGAGAGAGAGAGAGACAGCGTGAGCAGGGGAGAGTCAGAGAGAGAGGGAGATACAGACTCTGAAATTGGCTCCAGGCTCTGAGCTGGCAGTCAGCACAGAGCCCGACGCGGGGCTCGAACCCAGGAACCGCGAGATCATGACCTAAGCGAAAGTCGGATGCCCAACCGGCCAAGCCACCCAGGCGCCCCTCTTTTTTGTTTTTTTAAAGAAGGTGTTTGTAGCTATAAATTTCCTCCTCAGCCCAGAGCCTGGAGTCTGCTTTGGATTCTGTGTCTCACTTTCTCTCTGTCCCTCCTCTGCTTGTACTCGGTCTCTCTCGCTCTCAAAAATAAACATAAAAAAAATTTCCTCCTCAGCATGGTTTTTGCTGTGTCCCATAAGTTTTGATATGTTATGTCTTCTTTTTCATCTGTCTTTAAGTCTTTTCTAATTTTCCTTTGTAATTTCTTCTTTGGTTCATTGTTTCAAAGTATGTTGCTTAAGTTCTACAAGTTTGTGGATTTTCCAGTTTGACTTCTGTTATTGATTTCTAACTTCATCCCACTCCAGTTGGAGAAGATACTTAGCATGATATCTGTTTTTTTTTAAAATCTACTGAGATTTGTGGCCTAACATATGGCTTGTCCTGGAAAATGAGGAGAATGTGTGTGCTGTTGTCGCTGGGTAGAGGGTTCTGCGTTATATGCCTGTTAGATCTTTTTGGTGTATTGTGTTGTTCAAGGCCACGAGTTCCTTACTTATCTTCTGTCTGGTTGTTTTCCCTATTACTGAGAGAGGGGTACTAAAGTCTTCAACTATTATTGTAAAATTACCTATTTTTCCCTTCAATTCTGTCAGTTTTTGCTTCATATAGTTTGGTCTGTTATCAGGTATATAAATGTTTATAATGGCTGTATCTTCTCACTGTATTGAACCTTTTATTAACACATAATGTCATTCTTGGTCTCTTGTAACTTTTTAAAAATTTAAAGTCACCGCGGTCTGATATTAGCATAGCCACCCTATTCTCTTCTGGTTACTATTTCATGGAATATCTTTTTCCGACCTTTCACTTTCAATCTATTTGTGTCTCTGAATATAAAGGGAGTCTCCTGTAAACAGCATATAGTTGGATATCCATTCTGCCAAACTCTTTTAATTGGAGATTTTAACCCATTTACATTTAAGTAATTATTGATAAGAAGAGACTTCTGTCCTTTTGGTATTTGTTTGCTAGGCCTTATACCATTTTTGTCCCTTGTTTCCTGCATTACTGCCTTTTTTGTGGGTTGATTTTTTTTTTTTTGTGGTGAAATATTTAAATTCCCATTTTATTTCCTTTTGTGCATATTCTATAGCTACTTTCTTTGCAGTTACCATGGGAATTAATTTAAAATTCTAAAGCTATAACATTCTAATTTGAATTTATACCAGCTTAACTTCAGTAGCAGGCAGAAACTCTGCTCCTTTATAGTTCCATCCCTACCTTTTGGGTTGTTGATGTCACAACATTACGTCTTTATACATGGTGAGCCCCAAAACTTAGAATAATAATTCTTTAAAATACACTGGTTTCCAAAATTAGGTAGAAAATGAAGTGTGGAGTTATAAGTCAAAGTTGTAATAATAGTGGCTTTTAGATTCATCATTAAAAAATGTCTTAGTCTCTTAAATCATGTAGAAAACAAAAGTGGAATTATAAACCATTTTTACCATAATACTAGGTTTCATAATTGCCCATGTGTTTACTTCTACTGAGATTTGTATACCTTCAAACACCTGTGAGTTACTGCCTAGTGTCCTTCCATTGCACCCGGCAGGTCTGTCCAAGTATTTCTTGTGGTGCAGATCTAGTGGGAATGGAGTTTCTCAACTTTTGTTTCTCTGAAAATGTCTTAATTTCTCCCTCACTTTTGGAAAAAAGTTTTGCCAGATACAAATTTGCTTCCTTTGTTTTTTGTTTTTGGCATTTTGAGTATACTGGCCCACTGCCTTCTGGTTTCCAAGGTTTCTTTTTTTCTAAAAAAAATTTTTTTGTGTGTTTATTTTTGAGAGAGAGAGGGAGAGACAGAGTGCAAGTGGGGAAGGGGCAGAGAGAGAGGGAGACAGAGTCTGAAGCTTGGCTTCCAAGGTTTCTGATGAGAAATCTGCTCAAAATCTTCTTGAGGATTCCTTGTATGTGATGAGTTCCTTCTCTTTCCACACGCAAGTGGTCTCTCTGTATTTGGCATTCAAAAGATTGATTGTAATGTGTCTCAGTGTAGGTCTCTTTGAATTTATTTTACTTGGTATTTGTTGAGTTTCTTGGACATTTTTATTAATATCTTTCATCAAATTTAGGAAATTTTCAGTCTTTATTTCTTCACATATTCTCTCTGCTCCCCCCCCCCCCCCCCCCTTCTCCTAGGACTCCCATACTATAATGGGTATGTTGGTCTGGTTAATGGTGTCTCACAGATTACTTAGGCTCCGTTCATTTTTCTTAATCTTTTTTTTCTTTCTGTTTCTCAGACTTAATAATTTTCACTGTCCTATTTTCAAGTCCACCGATTCCTTCCACCTGCTTGAATCTGCCTTTGAAACCCTCTGGTGGCTCTTTCATTTCGGTTATTGTTCTTTTCAGTTCCAGACTTTCTTCTTGATTTCTTTGTAGGTTTTCTATCTCTTTATTGATATTCTAATTTCTTCATACATTGCTTTCTTGATTCTCCACATCTTCCTTTAGTTCTCTGAACATCTTTAAGACAATTGTTTTAAAATCTTTGTCTAGTGTTATCTAGCATCACGTCTTTTTCAGGGGCAGTTTCTACTACTTTCTGTGGGGATCAGATTCTCTCAATTTAAGAAAAAATTTTGTTTTTTGATTGTTATCAGCTGTCTCTGTGCCAAGAGAGGTCCTCTCTTTTCTGAGTTTTTCCCTGGGTGTACACGGCCACTTTCTAATTTCCCCGTATAAGCAGTTGTTTTTGAATGTCTAGTCTTTGATATCTGGCTCCCAAAAGGGGAAAAGGAGAAAAATGAAGTGGGGCAGCCCCTGGAATCCTCTGGAAGTTACTCTAGCCCGGAAGGGAGGTACAACAATGGCCGCCTGCCCCTTCCTCTGTACTTCTGTGATCAGATGCAGCAATGGGCCATCAGAGCACAGATGCCTGAGGCAGAAAGGCAGCTCGTAAATGGCACAGTCCAGAGGTGGGGCAGGCAGGTGATGAGGACAGAGTGATGCAGGGGTGAGAAGGTGAGGGACTGAAGGTGGCTGGGCAGGGAGATGGGCTCCGTCTCTCACCTTCATCAGGAGGGCCCTCTCCTTCTCAGCCACCCTTCTCCAGATCTTTGTGACTTGGTGGATCTCGGAGTTGAGGAAGCCATTCTGGGTCCGGTACGCTTCTATGTCATCCTGGAGAAGAGAGCAAAGCATGTGACAAGTTGCCCTCTCCCCGGTCCTCACCCTCTTGTGAGCTGCTATGTGAACACCTCACTTCCTTCCTTCAGAAATTTCTAATGACAACAGAAAAGAACGTAGTATTATAGACAGTCCCCTTCCCTAGACTTGACCCCAGCATGATACGGTAGACAGAGCATCAAGCCTGGAGTTCAAGTCTCAGCTCTGACTTCCTGGCTGGGAGGCTTCATTCAACAACTCTGACTCTGTTTTCTCATCTGCAAAAGGGGTAAATACTATTTCAGTAGGCAGGTGGAAGACCACGTGAGGTAATGTGTGTCATAATGCTAAGTACAATTTGGGGTGGAAAATTTTTACCTAAGTCGCTCTGTAAATATGCAGTTGACCCTTCGACAACACTGGGGCTTGGGTGTCGAACCCCCTGCACAGTTGAAAATCTGTGTATGACTTTTGACTCCCTCCAAATTTAACTGCTAATAACCTGCTGTTGGCCAAAGTCTTACTGGTAACACAAAGAGCACATATGTCATGTGCCATGTGTATTTCACGCTGTGTTCTTACCATAAAGTGAGCTAGAGAAAATGCTAAGAAAATCATAAGGGAAAGAAAATACATTTACATTACTAGACTGTATCTATCAGAAAAAATCTGCCTGTAAGTGGACCCATGCAGTTCAAACCTGTGTTGTTCAAGGGTCAACTGTACTTTTCTACGTGGCTACATAAACCTCCCAATGATCATTCTTAATGTCTGATGACTATTCTGTTGGGTGAATTTACTACAGTGTAGTTATAATCCTTCTGTTATTTTTGATTTGAGCCCTGAGTGCTTTCAGTTTGGTTTTGATTAAGAACAGTGCTGTGATGCACATCTCTGAGCCTGGAGTTTTCCTTTTGCGAGCTGTCCAGGGACAGAGTAAGATCCTGCTGCTTGGGCACTTGAGGAGAAGCTGGCCAAGCGCTGGGGAGGTGCCAGCAGGAGCCTGAGCCTCAGAAAGGAGCAGACAAAGCACTGGCTCTCAGCCTTCATTCTGCTGGGATGGGCCTTACAGAAGCAATGGACAGCACATGCTCACATCTATCCCTACCAATTCCAGGACATCCACTAGCTGAAACTCAACCCCTTTCGCTCCTACTTTAGAAATATGCTGGGCTGTAGGTGCATGTGAGAGATGCTATTGCAGGCATGACTTCAGATAGGCCCTGATTTATCTGGAAATTAAGAGCATCACACCTGTGATGCCTGTGGCACCTCATTATCAGGGATGTGTCACTTGCGCACAGCTCACAGGCCATCCTGACCCTCCCGGAGTGGGTCTGCATTTTGGCCACGATCTTTCCCAGTCCAGAAGCTCCGATTCATACCCAGGGTCTGCTGCCCTCCACCTAGATGGTTGACACAGTGTGAGGGCCGCACGATCCCAGGGCTCCTTAGCTAGAAATCAAAGGCCCAAGCTGACTTCATTCATCACTTGGCGTTTCACCACTCAGCTGGGACTCTCCGGCTCTCGGTGGAGTCTCCCGCCCCAGCCACCCCTGCTTTTGCAGCCCTCACTGTACTGTGTCCAGGCTGCAAGGCTGTGTGTCCTCAGGTTGGGCTTGCTCTCCGCTCTCTCGGTCTGGCCGGGACCTGGGTAGTTTCAGCTCCCCAGCCTGTACTTCCTCCTATACTCCAACTGTGTCTGTCCTACATCAAAGTCTGGGCTCCCTTTTCTCAGGCGGTACCAGCTGCTCTTTTGCCACCCGCTTCCTCTCCATGAACCCCATTTCCTTATCCTTATGTGGAGGGGAGGTGAGCTTGGTGCGAATCCTCATGTTTGCAGCATGAGGACCAACCTCCGGTGAGCATCAGGATTCTCCAGGGCCACTCCCGTTGCCCGCTACATTTTGGTGTCAGGAGATTTGGTAGATTTATGAACACAGAGGCTGTGTGGGCTCCCTGCAGCATCACCCCTTGCCTCCACCCCGCACTGAGCACACCATCCCATTCAATCCCTCCAGTGGCCCTGAAAGTCTCAGAGGCTCTGAAAAGGACAGCTGTACCAGGCAGGGTGTGACTAAGCCCAGGGCTGTGAGATTCGAAAGCCAAGTCCAAGCTCTGCACTTACTGCCTAGACAGTCCCTAAGCGCTGTCCCCACTGCAATCCACCTGGACGCCAAAACTCTAGTCTCATCCTTCAAGGGATGGGTTCGGTAGTCTGGCTGAGCGCACGCAGGCCTGTCTAACCTCTCTGGCCCTGCCCTCAAGTTCAATCACAACACATCAAAGACACAGGCGTTGCTGAGCGCCGACTGTGCCTGGTGGTCAGGGGGTCAACTCTGGGGCCGTGCTGCCTGGATATAACCCCTGCCTTCACCGAGGAGCCCCAGCACAAGTGCCTCATCCCCTCAACGGGAAGTCAGAATAACAGTGCTGCTGTTGGGAGGATGTGAATAGTCAATACTGCAAAGGCTGAGGGTGGTGGGGGGCAAGAGGTGAATACAAAGCAGGCACCTCCTTATCCAGGATCTCACCCACTGCCTTCCTCCTGCGCCTGCTGAGGGGCTTCCCACCACTACTCGTGTGCGGTCTTCCCAAGTGCCCGGGAAAATACAACAAGCTTCCACACACGGGAGGAAAAGAGCTACCAGTTGTTGCCTGAGTCCCTACTATGTGCCAGACCCATTTCCCTCACCCACATTACTACATGTCATTTATCTTCACAATGCTGTGGGATGAGTCCTAAAGTACTATCGTTCCCATTTTACAGATGAGGAAACAGTATAGAGAGGGTCAGTTCTCCTCGTCATGCGGCTAGAACGCGAGAGAGGCAGGATCCAAACCCTGGTGTGTTCAGCAGGAACTGAAAACCAGCGCTGGGTGAAAAGTGCACCACCGCCCGGGTTCTGCCTCCTCGTCCCATCCCTCTGTCCTCATCCCAGGCCCAGAAGATGCTCACTGGCTTCTCCAAGCCTTTGGACATGTTGCGCGGGGCAGCCTGCCTCCAGCCCAGTCAAGGAGGGTGGCGGTGCACCCTTGGAGCGGCAGTGGGGTGGCCTCTGGGCAGCACCTTCCCAGTCAGCTCATCGCCCTACCTGGGGTGTTCTTCTTGGCTCAGAACTGTAGGGAGGAAAAAGAGAGAGCTCAGAGAAGAGAATGCCACATGACAGTTGCCAATAAGCAAAGGAGGAAAACACAACTGGAGGAAGGGGACAGGAGGAAGAGAGTCTGCCTGCCTGCCTTCAGAGGGGTCAGGAGCCTGGGAACTTTCTCGGGGAAATGCCGCATGGGCTAGCCCTTTTGCTACTGGGGGAGATGGTGGGTCAGGTATGGGGAGACCTGGGATCTAGCCGCAAACCTGCTGCTTGCGCTGTGTGACCCTGGGCCGGTCCTTCCCCCTGTCCAGGGCTCAGCCGTCCCTGCCAGAAAACAAGGGGGCAGACCAGATCTCTGCATCTCCCAGCTCTGAAACTCAAGAGCTCAATGAGTCTGTTCTCAAATCCATACCTTCAACAAGGGGGCACTTCCTTAAAGATGCTTGTCCTCAGTCACATGGCAAGCAAGTGAACTGTGTCCCCAGACTGAAAGACTGGGTTTTTGAAGATTGTTCTATTTTTTTCTAGATCAGATACATTAAAGGCTAACAAATGAGGAACTCTAGAACTTGCAATTCTTTCTAGCAAAAATGCTGGGCCTCTGAGGATCAGCTGCAAGGTTACATTTGGTTGATGTTAATCTCCCCATATCTGGGCTCACTGATAATCCCTGAACATGCAAATCCAGGGGCATTCTGTCTCCTAGGTGAGTCCATGCTTCCAGTCAATTCTGGGGGGCGGCCTGGAGGCACCCTGCTCTATAGGGCCTTCAACTGTGGATTCCTGCAAGATGGGCACAGAGAGGACTTATCAGGGCAGAGGAGAATGGGGAAGCAGGGCAGAGGAGGGTGGGGAAGGAACTTCCCAGCCCAGAAAGCTTGCTAACAACCTAGCTCCATCTGCATTTGGAAAGATTTTGTTTTCATTCTGAACTTGAAGGAATCTGGTTTTAAAGGAAAAATATCCAGAGACTGGCTATGTATTTTCTTTATGCTGAAGGAAATGGAAGGGAATCTGGGTTTTGTGTTATTTTCCTTTACCCTCCTGTCAGCCGCGTGAGTAGGAACAGTTAGGCCGCTTTATAGGGAGGTGAGGGGACTTGCATAAGGTCACATAGCTAGTAAGAGGCAGAGCCTGGATCCAAACACAGGTCTGCCTGCCTTCAGGGCTGGGGCAGTGACCACTGTACCACTGCCCACTGCTCTTACAAAGGCATCTGGATTTTTCTTTTTTCCTTCGGCTTCCCCTCTTCCAGCAGCAGCGCTCCGGGCCCATGGCACAGGAGCCCCCACAGTTATACGTATATATACACGTGCAGCTGCATGTGGTGGGTTTGGGGAATGACTGGCCACAGTTATACAGCTGCCTTTAAGGACAGTGGGGGCTGTGAGCGCCGATCCCCGAGCTCCGGCTCCCTGGAGGTCTGGCAGCTCCTGTCACCACATCCTGGAGACGCCGCAGCCCGCGGCAGGCATCACACCTAACATGGATCGCCGATTCCCTGCGCTGCAGCTCGTCTCTGTGGGAGCCATGGGCCTGGGTAAGGAAGGCAGGGTCGGCGGCATTCGCTGGAAGGCCCGGAGAAACTGGACGGCAGCGGAACAGACACTAGTCAGGGAGTTCCAGTTTCACACCTCCTCAGCTCGGGGCCCCTGTCAGCCTCAGCCTTCATGCACGCGGTGGGGAGCACAAAGGGACAGCCTCACTGGGCTGGTGGAGCATCAGGTGAGGTGATTCGAGCAGGGCATTTGGGACGGTGGCCGCCGTGCAGCAGAGAGTCTCGCAGAGGAGCGGCGATTACTGCCATCATCACGAGCAAGTCACAGCCAGCCACACATCACACGCCTACTGTGTGCTGGGGGGGGGTGGTGCACGGTGCCGGGGGGGGGCGCGGTGCTGGGCACCTTGGGGACTTCTGAGGGCGTCAGCGTGGCACTTGGCCGGCCTGGCACTCAGGAGTTCTGACCTCATCTTGTACTCTTCCATCTCTAATGATAATCTAGAGATACTTTCCCCTTCCAGCCTGGGATATCACGAAGAGGTCAAATTGCTCAGGGTCTTCTGGTTAAGAAAGACACGGCAAGGGGCGCCTGGGTGGCTTAGTCGGTTAAGCGTCCGACTTTCGCTTAGGTCATGATCTCGCGGTTCGTGGGTTCGAGCCCCGCGTCGGGCTCTGTGCTGACTGACAGCTCAGAGCCTGGAGCCTATTTCGGAGTCTGTGTCTC